TGGCTGCTCCAGCACTTGCACCAGGAAGTTGTTCCCAACACTCCAAAAACTGCCTGGATTGCTTGCACACTGCTGTATACCCCTCCCAGCAGATGTCAGGGTGATTGAAGTCCTCTGTGAGAAGCAAGGCCTGCAACTGGGAAACTTCCACTAGCTGTTTAAAGAAAGCCACATCCACCACATCCTCCTGGTTTGGTGGTCTACAGCAGACCCCCACCATGACATCACCCATGTTGCTCTCCCCTCTGACCCTAACCAAACGACTTTTAACAGGCCCATCTCCAGTTTCATACTGGAGCTGTGAGCAATCATATGGTTCTTTTACATAAAGTGCAACTCCTCTTCCTCTTCTCCCCTGCCTGTCCTTCCTGAACAGTTTATACCTGTCCATGACAGTGCTCCTGTCATGCGAGCTAGCCACACACAATGTAATAGCAGCTACTACTTTCTTTTTAAACACAGATATTCAGGGTGCATAGAACTGGCCTGATCTGGCTCTTTATCAATAAAAGTAAAACTCTTAAGGGAACAGACTATCTTTACCAGTTTGGCTGCTGACCTATCTTTCCTGCTGTCAGTGCTTCAACTGGTTCATTTTCTACCTTTTCTTCTAATGATATCTGGGAAAAGTAAGTCGCTAGACTTATTCTTACAATTATTTGGGGCGGGGGGGGAGGGTTGGGAATCTCATTTGGATCATGCTGCTCTGCTGAACATACTAATCTTTCTTTGTGACTTGTACAGTACCAAGCTCCTTGCTGACATATCACAGACATTTTTTTCATTGTCAATTGTACTCTTGCTTAGTTCTCACTTATATAAATATTCACCCTATGTCTTTTCTCTACCCATGTCTGGTTACATAGGCATTATTGATGTTTCTTCCCAAGAAGACACACACACACGTATTGGACTGAGTAGTAGTAACCTTGCTTTCTGCCTGTGATGTGAGAATGCAGAGTGGTGACTCTCTGTTCAGCTTCTGCCAGTTGTCTTCTCCCTAGGCCATGCGTTCTGGAGAGAACACAGTCTACATAGATATCCCAGAAGAGCTGTGCCAGGTCCCAGAACAGAGCTCCATGCTTTAAATTTTCTGATGACTTCAGGAAGATCATAAAGTCCCAAAAACCAGTGACAGAGTCAGAAATCCGTGGCTTCCTCATTTCCAGCAAGATAGCTGAGGAGGACTCCCAGCACTGGGGATCAGCTCGTCCAAGTGCTAATGGATCAATTTGGCTATGGCAGAAGAAAGGTGTTACACAAAATACTCCCATGATGAACACAAAGCAGGTAAGTCTCATGTTGCAGTGTATTCCTCTTCTGTTCCCAGGGTCCATTGTGTCACTGAAACTTCACAAAAAAGAAAATAAGGAGAAAAATCTTTTAATCTTCAGATGGCAATAGGCTATGTGCAGGAATGGCTAGATAAAATCCTATATCATGTGCCTTATGATCATGATCCCTTCTTTCCTTTAAAACGTCTGTGTATTATAGAATAGCTTAATATAGGTTGTTATATTTTAATTACTCTGAAAGCCAAGTTCATTTACTAAACTCTTTTATGCCTCTTCTCCAAGGGCGACGTGTAGGGCAGTGCACCACCTGAGCATGGCAGTGCACTCTCTGCAAAAAAGTGCCACTGACAGTGTCAGCAGCGCCTGCAGGCGGTCACTGCTCACCACCCTGCTGCCAGTCCACAATCACTGCTGGCTGACGCTGCGAGTGGTGCCTGCGAGAGGTGCTTACCAGCGCCCCCCCTCTCCCGTTGACAGTGCCAGCGGCATCTGCGGGAGCTCTGTGCTTAGTGCCGCTGGGCTCAGGCCACTGTGCTCCTGCCGCCACCAGCTGGAGACATACACCGTTCATGCTCTCCTCTAAATTGTAATTTAGGTGATTTATGTCAAGGGAAAAGAACAATCACATTAAGATATTCCTATTATTCCTACTACTCCTGAAATATTCCTATTAATCACAAATATTTCCACAATTGATGTGGAACAGAGAGAGAAAGTCTATGTGTGTGTGCGCATGTATATGTGTGCACATGCATGTGCACGTGCAAACTTGGAATTAAAATGTGTGGATAATACAAAATTCAGATCTAAGTAATGCATGGTTTCGTGACAATTTTCTGTTGAATTAAAATAAAAAAATGACATGTACAGTCAGTAATTATTGGCTGCAAAAGGGAAATTTTGAAATCCAACTTCCCATCAGCTGTTGTTAAAAGATTCCGTCATCTTTGCAGACTAATTTTGACTAAGAGTATATATGCGTGTGTGTACAGTAGTGTAACTGAGGGATGACCAAGGCAGCAGCTCTGGCCACAACCTTGCGGGGAGATATAAAAGCAATGGGCCAAGTTCACAGACAATGCCAAATTATGGGGGATGGTGGTCACACCATAAGACAGGCTAGGGATACAGGCCGACTTGGACATGCTCT